TCCTACGACGGCAAGGTACGAGGCCTCTCACCGACACGCGCTAAGTCCAATGGTGCACTCAGTCTCGGTCGGACCACACACACAGTGGAACGCGCTGTTGATTGCGGCGTGGCGAAAGCGCAACGACGTGGTTGACTACCTGCTTTCTGCGGGAGCCAACAGGTATTGGACCAACAGTCTAGGAAAGAACCTCGACACCATCACCCAAGAGCTCGAGCAGCAAGCCCAGTTCGGTAATTATTGGCCGCCCTCTGTCGTGTGTGTGTGTGTGTGTGGCATGTGACAAGAATTCTTCTTTGCTGCAGTCAAGGAGAGGATGCGGCGGGCGGACGAGGAGAGGAAGGCCAATAAGGCCCTGCTGACCCGTGGCGCGGTGCTCGAGGCGGCCAGTCAGGACTGCCGACACTGTGGTGGCATCGCAGCGGTGCACATTCCCTCGCGCCTGCTCTTTGGCTACTGCCAGGTGTGCGGCAAGCTCGCCCAACGGCGGCCGTAGGGAAGAAACCTGTTACAGGTTACAGTTTCCGAAATCTGAATTTTTTCCAGTAACCCACAAAAATAAAATCGAAAATAAAAGTACCTTAATAAAGGTACCTTTTTTTTTGGTTGATTTTCATTGTACCGATGGATCTGTCGAAACTCTTGGCAGGCCTTTCGTGGGGTAACCCCCTGACAGGGGGAGGCATGGGTGGGATAGTATGCCTCCATGCCACCTGTGTATTGAGCCTGCGCATGCTAATATGATTTGTTCACTACATTTGCCCAGATTTCCTCGCACGCCAATCCAGACGTGCCTCTGGCCTTTGAGCGTGCTTCCAGCACCTCAACTGATGCCCCACCTGACGAAGGTTCAGCGCCTCTCGTTATCTCAATCTCCGTCTTCCTTTTGATCTGCGGTCACCGTCCTCAAGCCTGCGTGCGATCATGACCGTGCTTGTTGCGTTTCTCTCTCTGGCCCGGTGTGGACACTCGCAGCGTGGCAGAGCGAGTTGTCCATGGCTAGCTTTGGTGGCGTTAGCCCCAGCAGCGAGGCCAACATGTGGTCCAAGCTCGAAGAGGACAACGACAGCCTCCAGTACCGCCCCTCCTTGCTTCCCTTCACTTGACGACAAGCACACTAACTCACGCAACACGCAACAGGCCAGGAGCGATGGAGGCGATGATGAAGGCGTTTCAAGCCTGCGACTACGTTTCTTCCGACCCCGCGAAAGCGGTGCAAATGGCCGAGACTGCGCTGGAGATCACGCATGGCTGCCCCGAGGCCTTCAACGTGCTGGCCCAGTGCAAGGCCACCTCGCTCGACGAAGCCTTCGACTTATACACGTATTTTCTTTATTCCATCTCTACCTACTCATCTTTCTCTTTTGTGCGAGTTCTAATGATAAGGCATTGTGTGTGTCGTGTCGTTGGTCGTGTCGTGTCGGTCGTGTCGTGTCGTGTCGGTCGTGCGGGATGTCGTGTGCGTGTGCGTCGTGTAGGAAAGCGGAGGAAGCGTCGAGGCAGATGCTGAAAGACCACGAGGCGCGGGTCAAGTTTCGCACGGGCAAGATGTGGACGACCTGCACCTGCGGCCTTGTCCGGCATCCA